TGTACTTTGAAAAGGGTATTCCAACATATTACCAAGGCAATCTTGAAGAAGAAGAAAAGGTTCTTGAGTGGTTAAAGCATCAAAGCGAAAGCGACGAAATCGAGGACATTACGGATGAAATGCTTGACCTCATGATTGAGAAAATGCCATATGTCGCTGTACTTTTCTGTAAGTATTGTTTTTTAAATTTCGAAATGTGTGAATATAATATATTTCTCGTTATTTCCATTGTTCAAAAATATGAAAATTCGTATATTATCTTTCTAACGCTGTGTTTATTTGCAACAACTTTTAAATAAACTTTATAAATAAATTCTATCGTGCAAGGCGTGTTACCTTCAGAACTGGCAAATAAATGAAATATAGTCCTTCGAATAATTTTCAGACGACAAAGATCAGAAAAAAAGTCAAAAGATCTTGGCTGAACTGGAGAACATAGACGATGAGTGTGACCAGAATGATATCGCGTTTGTTAAGATCGACGATGATAAGGAAGCTAAAGAGTATGGTATTGAGACCATACCGACAATGGTATTTTTCGAGAAAGGTATACCACACATTTATGATGGTGACTTAATGAAGGAAGATGAACTGCTGGGTTGGTTAATCCATCAAAAACGTCACAGTGAAATACCAGAGGTCACCGATGAAATGATGGATAAATTAATAGAAAGTACACCATATTTGGCTGTAATATTCTGTAAGATTCCTTTTATTTAATTTAGTTAATTTAATGTTACAATAATATGTTAATATAACCGTTGAAGAAAATCTTAACTATAATAATAAGACAAATTTGCTCAAAGGTTCTCTGAACTTATTTTGATGGAAACAAAAACTACAAAAAAATTAGAAAAATATCTATAATAATAATAAAGCAATTATTTAAAAATTGAATTGCTCATTTTACAAAAAATGCTGGCTAAAAATAATATATAATAATAAAACAATTGTTAAGTTCATTAACTTGTAAAATCAAGTTTTGCAAAGAAAAATTATATGTGAATTTAAACCAAAAATAAATATTATCTAATAGTATGTACATAAGTCACATACTTCATTGCAGATTCTTAGTTATTACTTTCTTTATTCTTTTAAAAAAAATATTTGTTTTCTTTTTTAATTTAATTACGAGACAAATGAAATAAGTATCCTACGATAAAATTCGAATGAATAATGATTTAATATTAATTACGGAATCAGTGGAAAAATGCATACATTTTGTGTTCTAACCTTAGAGTAATTATATATAAGTACATAATATGTAATCCAAACTAACTATATACTCGTATGTATGTAGCAGTTAGTTTAAGTGTTTATTTGTCATCATGGCAACAATCCGAAAGATTGATATCAATTCAATTAGAAATATATGAAAAATAATAATTTCAACATCTAGATATTGATCACAACAAATGTTGCAAAAGATGCTTCGTTTCATTTCAGTGTTTCTTTGCTTTATACTTTTTCACTCTTAGTAAAAAAACACTAAATCTCTCACGCCTGTTACCCACAGAGGTAGACAGAACCTATGAATTTTCATTTAGCACAAGCCGAACTCATCTTCTCGCTTCCTTTACATCATATCTACTTATTCATCTGCGTCGGTTAAGGGTACTCTTAAATTGGCCCATCATAAATTTATTATCAATTTGGTAAATAAGATTCCGTTAAGGTGTCCATTGCCAACTCTGCCACTCTTACAGTATAAATTTGCCTTGTAACTACATCTTTTTGTAAACCATACTTTTAGCTTATGACACAATTTTTATTCTGTCATTCAAAGCCACCCTTAGCGTATATTTTTAAAACATTTTGACTTCCCATAATAGAATGACGAGCTCCATTTACTCTGTGCCCTGCATTTACTCTGCGCCATGCAATCACTCTGTGCCCTGCATTCACTCTGTGCCCTGCATTCACTCTTCGTCCTATATCCTTTTACTGTCTACCATTGCTGCTTAACATACATCCTATAAAAATATATAAACTCCTCCGATTGCTCAACTAACTCTCCTTCTATTTTAATCCACATATTGTTTTATTTTGATCTTTTTCAAAAACCATCATTCTATCTAAGTTGCGTTCACTTTTATTCCCCTTTCTTTAAATTATACGTTTATTAATATAACAATCATTTTAAAGACTTAAATATGATTTGATCGTCGGCCTACAAGAGGCATTTAATGGCTAACTCATCCATTTTTAACCTATATACTTCAACTTTCAATGTTTCCAAACAATAGATTTGACTGTCAAGACTGTGCAGGGCCCGTTGATCTTGATTCAAGTACTAGAATCCTTATAGAGATTTTAATAGCTGTATTAGCCCAGCGCTCACTATAAATGTGGCCAGCGTATGCAATAAAACAATCCGATACATCTATGCTTTAGGCTTATTCCAAGTCTAAAAATTCACAGAATACTTTCTGGTTTTTGGCCAAAAACTTCTCTGTATATCCAGCTTGTACAGCTCATATTTTAATGAGACTAATTAATTTTGACAGTTGTGCTGCAACCCTTTTCCCTTAACACTGTAACACTTTTCCCTTTAACCCTTAGTAACATTATTTAATTTGAACCTTAACACCAGTCTCCACTTAAGTTTCAAGCATTAATTAAAGCACGTTTACAAGAGTACAGCGGTTTTACCACCACTCCCTCTTAGTCCTCAGCATATTTAATGATGCTTTATCATACCCATAAGCCTTACTTATTTCATCTATACTTATCTCACTACCTCTACCCTTTTCTTTCGATGTTTCTGGTTCATTTAATGTAAAAAGGCATGTTAAGTATCACATGCCTTCTCATATTTAAACACGCTTTAAAAATATTGCTTTAAACCCATTTTCTCTTTAAACCCATTTCATTGTACAGGCATAAGAGCCATTCTCTTCTCGTAAAGTATTCATTCATGATAGTTCTGACTATCCCCTGGTAGTTCTAACGAGTTTTCAGAACACTTTGATATTTGTTTGGAAATTATCAGATAGTATTTTTCGCTAGTACTTCTAACCGTGTTCCTTTCTTTTTTCATCAGCTTTCATTCGTCACCATCATCATCATTACAAGTCCACAGCTGAACATAGGCCTCCCCCAAGGAATGCCACAAAGCCCGGTCCCGAGCCACCTGCATCCATTGACTTGCTGCATGTCTTACCAGGTCGTCACTACATCTAGCGGGGGCACGCCCTACACTTCGCCTGTCGGTACGAGGCTGCCACTCGAGAACCTTTCTTCCCCATCGGTTTGTCGGTTCTTCGAGCTATATGGCCGGTCCATTGCCACTTCAGTATACTAATTCTTTGGGCTATATCGGTTTCTCAGGTTCTACTGCGGATATCCTCTTTTTTAAGTCTATCACGCAGAGAAACACCGAGCATAACCGTTCCATAAAAAAGTACGTCTAACGAGAAGATGTGACGAGCTTTCATTCGTAAGGCACGAATTATCTCAGCATACCATACTATTATTCCTGCTAATTATTTCTTTAACACAGTGGTTTTCAATTAGTATTTCCTGCGTACCACTTCGAAAAAGCCTTATAGCCGAAATGATAAATACAATATAAAAATCACTAAACCTCTCTTAAATTTATCCCACAGTGTCTCCAAGTCTGAATTTTTCATACACAATTCATCGAAATCACTATTTTAATAAGTATTTTAATAAAATAAGTAAATCCAAGATAAGGTCAAATAATGACGGATCACACCCTCCGTTGGAAGCGTGGTAAATCCTTATATTATCTTCGCCCTTTTATATCATTGCGATTTTCGTACTTCCATCCACAATTATGAAATTTAATATAATTTTATCTTTTTCATTTATTCATGTATACATATGAATTTTCTTATGACAAAAAAAGTGTCCGTCACAAGGAGATTTATCAAAAATATTGTGATGAACTTTTCACCATTTTCATTTATAGATTTATCACCAAACGTTATATGAGAACACTGATACAGGTTGCCATTTTTTGCGAAATGTGTAACTTCAATTCCCGGCTAAAGGAAGTTATATTTCTAAAGTATTTTTCTATGTAGTTTTTGTTTTCTACTAAATCATGCTAAGGTTCTTTGGACAACTTTTTTTTAATAATGTAGAATTTACTCATTGATTCTGTATTTTAAAGAATAAAAATATCTATCGGTTATTTTCAGATGACAAAGATGATAAACAAGATATTCGGATTCTAAACGAGTTGGAAAACATTGATGATGAATTAGAAAAAGAGGGAATTGTTATTGTAAGAATGGATAATGAAGAAGAAGCTAAACAGTATGGTATAGATCACCTTCCAACTTTAATTTACTTTGAAGAAAATATACCCGCTATATACGAAGGTGACCTTATGAATGAAGACGAAGTACTAGAGTGGCTTATTGAACAGAAAAATAGTGCAACTATTGAGGAAGTGACTGATGAAATATTGGTTGACCTAATCGAGGAGCATGAATATGTGGTTGTTTATTTCAGTAAGTTTAAGATTTTAATTTAAAGAGTTTTCTAGCCCTTAATGTAAATAAATCTTAATTTTACATGAACAACTTGTGCATAAAATTATTTTATTATTTTACATAGTAATATACATATATAATATCAATATTTTATTGACTCTACTCAGGTGGTAAATGTGAGGAAGGCGAGGAATGTGATAATATTTTAGATGAACTGGAAAATATTGACGACGAATTAGATGAAACAGGCATTATATTTGTTACGACTGAAGATACTACCCTTGCAAAAAAATACGGTATCAAGACCTTCCCCACACTTGTTTTCTTCCGAAACAAAGATCCCCTTGTTTACAAAGGTTGGTTTATTTAACTATTAATTAAATTTTTATTTTTGTGAAAACATAAAGGATTTGTAAGCTAAAATTGTATATCTATTATCATAGGTGATATTGAAGACGAAGATGAAGTATTGGCTTGGCTGACTGATGAAAATACTCTCGAAATTCCTGGAAAAATCGAAGAAGTTAATTCCAAAATGTTAGAAAAAATCTTAGAAGAGAACGATCATGTTGTTGTTTTCTTCTGTAAGTATTTTAATTGCTTACTATGAATAAAACAAATGTTTCTCCTATTTATTATTTCATATTAACTTATTCATAATTTCAGATAGGGAAGGTGATAAAAAATCTCAAAAAATATTGAGTGAATTAGAGAACATTGACGATGAGTGTGAAGAGAAAAATATTGATTTCATCAAAACATCTGACGAGGGCGTCGATAAAGAATATGACCTTCCAGACTTACCAGCCTTGGCATTTTATCGCCACAAATTCAGAACAATTTACGATGGTGATTTGATGCATGAAGAGGCCATTCTGAAATGGGTATTAGAGCTTCATGATTCTCAACCAGATGTTATTGAGAGTGTCGATAGAAAAACGCTTAAAGATCTCATTAATGACGTGGAACATCTTGCCGTATTCTTTTGTGAGTAAATATTATTTGCTTTTAGTTAATCTATCTATTGACGTAAAAATGAATAGGTAAGCTTTTTTTCCAAATATCAACCCCGCCTTCATGCGTAACATTGAGCTGTCAGACTAAAGAACCTGTGACGACCGACTGGTATCGAAAAACTAGTGTATAATGTCAAAGGCTAATTCAAAAATTTGGTAATAGACATTACCAGTGCTTCGTTTTTGGCTCTGCACTCACTCAACCATTGTAATTATTAGCAATAGTAAGTAGTTGATTTGTTTTAGAGAAGTTTTATTTGGAAATGAATAATATGTTGAACAAAATTTGTTTAACTAATTATAACACCATATGATGGTGGAGGTACTCCTTATTTTCGTGGTAGAGCCACGCTGCAGCTATATTATAGTTGTAGCACGAATGGGTCGGCTCTACCGGGGTAGAACCAGGCTCTCACAGAACACCAGCGTAAAATAGCAGCTTGATGCTGCTGTGTTTCGTGTGGTGAGTGTAGAGAACCAGAAACCCTATTTACTGGAAATGAGGCATTCCATCTTAGTCCTCACGGGTGACAACGCATTTGCATTGTGATTCTTAATCGAGGTAGTCTATGGGCCACAGCATCCACTTACCATCAGGTGAACTGTGTGCTCGTTTGTCGCCTTATTCTATAAAATAAAAAAAATAAAAAGAAATTATTGCTAGCGGTATGTGAAAATTCAAAGTTTCCCAGCGAGATATGGAGAGGATTATGGAAGTTTCTCTGCGTGACAAAACCCCTAACGAGGATATTCGCAGAGGAACAAGAGTAACTGACATAACACGGCGAATCTCAAAGAACCGATTGCTAATGGGAAAAAAATATTCTCGAATGGTAGCCGAAGTTGTACTGGCAAGTGCAGTGTTGGGTGATTCCCTACTATATGTAGTGATAATATCATGATGAAACACGCAGGAAGTCACTGCATGCAGGTGGCTCGGGTCTCTGTTTAGTGGGAATCTATGAGAATAAAGAATAAGAAGAATCCATCATCTTATCTTGTTAAATTCTTATTGTAAAATGATCAATGAATTCGTTAATGTCTCGGTTAAAGACATCGACAAATTGGAATTTTATGAACTACGACAGACAGCTAAAGCATACCGATACTTTACTGGATAATTCATAAACAAATAGAATAATAACCATACTACAATAAATTACTGTTGTCTGTTTTAATTCTACAGATAATGAAGATTGTGACACTTGTGATGATGTTTTAGAAGAATTGGAAACAATCGATGACGATACTGATAAACATGGTATTCAGTTTGTAAAATCGAAAGATTCAAAATTGGCATCTGACATTGGCATTTTCAGTTTTCCAGCATTAGTTTACTATGAAACTGGTGTACCCATCATGTATGATGGTAAGTAGTTTTGTACTATAGACACTAGAAAAATTATTTCAACTTAATATTATATCTTATTACCGTTAGGGTCATTTAGATTCATATCATATATATATATATATATATATATATATATATATATATATATATATATGATATTCATCTAAATAATAAATATATATAAAGGTGATCGCTATTAAGCTATTTCTAATTTGTTGTGTTGTTACCAGTGGTAATCAAGTATATATATATATATGCTTAATACAGAAGACACAAGCAATTAAAAACATTCTCTTATTACAAAAAGTAGTTCATAATTAGTCTCAGATTTAAACTAGAATTTAATTCACGAAAAAAGTCCCGCGGAAATATGCGAACTAAAATGTAAAGTATGAGGTTTGACAGTAAATGTCGAATTTTCGGGGAAGGACCACGCTCTCACGAATACCAACGTAAAATAGCAGCTTATCACTGCTATGTTTCGTATGGTAAGTGTAGAGAATCGGAGACTCTTTTTACTGGAAACGAGGCTTTCCATCTTAGTCCTCACTGGCGACAACTCATCTGTATTTTGATTCGTAATCGAGGATAGATGTAGATATCTACGGGCCACTTACCATCAGGCGTACTATGTGCTCGTTTGTCACCCTTATCTTAAAAAAAAATTGCAGACTGTGGCATTGCAGCTATTTTAAGCACGAGACTATCGATAAAACCACGTTTTGGAATATATTTTATTTCAATATTAATTTTACAAAGTACATAGGTATGTTATTGACAGATTTATTAATTTTACATTTGAAGAAGATTTTTGGAATCGCTGACTTTAGTTAAAACTTATCTTGTATGTATGCACTATATTTTATTTGTCGTAATAAGTTTTTCTAATCATTTTTCGGTTCGTAAAACTCGTTGCTGGCCAAGGGCTTCTCTTGTTGCAGGAAGGATTTGCCTTGATATGATAATCATATGAGCTTGACAGCTATTACGTATTGCTCCTTTGACTCCGCTTGTTGTCGCTTATCTAGGTATTTTATCTTTAACGTAAACAGGATGATTATATCGCCACCTATCGGAAACTGTAAGACTTTTCAGACTGTCCCATATTTGCTTCTTACGACATCCATAGGATGAAATGACGTGATAGGTTCTCTTACACCGTCTTCACACGGCCGTAAATATTTAGTAGTCACCATAGTGTTTAGTCACCTTAATATTTAAGAAATATTTTTAATTGTTTTCCCTGTTTATAGGTGATTTAAAGAATGAAAATAAAGTTCTCCAGTGGCTTGTAGATCAAAAAAGTAAGAATCCACATCCATTTTAAAATTTATGATAATTATTTATTTAAAGTAATTTATTATGTCTTAAATTGTTATTTGAAAAAAAAATGCATGACGTCATTCTTTATATTTGTAAAAAAATATATTTTTATGCCTTGATTACTGAATGTTTGAGCTAGGTCATTTTGCATGACAGTTACTAATGCCTGCAGGTGAAGATAGCCACCGAAAAAATTATACTACTAATTCTAAATCAATGGCCAATGCAGATGGTGATAAAGCCTCACGTCTTATGCAAAATAAACGCAATACAAATAGTATAAAAATTAATTCACGGAAAGAGTCAGATTGGAAGCCCGGAAATAAACCAAAAGTATCATTGCAAACAAAAAATAAACGACAGAAAGATGATGATGATGATGAAGAAGGTGATGATGACGATTATGATAAAAGTATCGAAGATCACTACAATTCAAATGACGATAATGGTGATAAAGATGATGATGATGATGATGAAATATTTGACGATAATGACGTAGACAATGACATTGACAATATTGACGATGACGACAATGATGATGAAAGTGATGATGATGATGATGATAATGAAAACGATGATTATGAAGATGATGATGAATTAGACAGGAGAATTGATATTGAAGATGATGAAGAAGAAGAAAATGAAGGATTTAGTTATATTGGTAGAATAAAACAAGTTTCAACAGGTAAATTGGTAGTTTTGGACCCTTACGAGATGACCCTGCATAGAGGCACCGATGTACCCCAGTCACACATCTGCATGGTCGAGAAATGGATCCCGCATTGGTCCTTAGTAGCTATCGCCTGCAGTCATTCGCGAACGCTTACCAAATTAAATGTTTTAGTTCTTATACTAACATAATTTTTAGAATTAATAGCGCGCATAACAAATAGGCGCATAAATTACAAATATGCACAGTATTAACTCTCAGTTAACTATTACTGTATTCTCGAATTTTACGGGTTATAAACAACAAATTTTTACTGACTGCAGGCGATCGCTGTTTCTACATTGGATTGGGGGCGAAACCGGCTGTCCCTAAAATCACTTACGAACCCTACCAGTGCTGTCCTACTAAAGTACAGAGCCCGACAAAAGTAGCCAAAGCGACGCCAACCAAGGTCCCGCCAAAGAAACTCGAGAAGAAGCAACCCACGTTGGAAAAACCCACTAAGGGTAAAAATAAGGCTCTCGCAGCTAAACCAGACAGACCATCCAAAGGAAAAAAAGGTTTATTCGGCTCTGACAATGTTTGGTGGTGGTAAACAATTATTGTTGGAACCATTAGTATAGATGATGTTGTTACCGGATGTGTACATGTATGGTATCAAGTAGACACGATTTTTTACCGTCAAGTTTCTTTCTATTCTATAGTCGAAAATATTACTTTGGTCTTAATTACACCGTCAAACTAATTCTTGTTTCTAACTTTATAATAATCTATTTTTCACTGATTTCGTGTCTCTTGATCCTTGCTTTACATCTAACAGGGTTGTATGTTGTAATAATAATACGTTTTACGAGAACTTTTTTCACCAAATTACAATAAGGTTTTTGTTTTTAATTATACACTTATTTACGATGACAACCCACTCAGATTTAAAACAAAGTATTATGCTCTTGATATTAATAAAAAAGCAAGAGAGTTTAAGGAACTAAATATTGGAATTTGTGGGACTTTATCATAACCAGGTGTACAAATCTTTATTTTGACAGTAATAAAATTTAATTCCAATATTTAAATCCTGATAGCAAACAACGTCAAAATATAGGCATTTTTTTGTATTCACATTGCCGTATCATCTTGAAAGACTTATTGTTGTAAGTATTTCACATTCATCTAGTTTTCTAGTCTTCATGGATTTTCATTATTCTATAATTCATTTGGAATACAACTATTTATTACTAGATTTAAAACTTTTAATATATCACATTATTAGATGGGAACGAACAAAACTGAAAACAAACGCAATTTCTAATTTGTGTCATGTTTCTTGATACTGATTGTATTTAAAATATTTAATTTCAATACAGCATAAGAGCATGCTACGAGGTGTTAGATAAATGAGTGCGAAAATTAATTGTTTTTATAATAAATAAATGATCTCGCACGAACTACGCTCATATTTATTTGCTAGTATAAGCTCTAACAAGGCTGGCGTTGTAAAACAAATTACGATAGATTGTATTGTTTGAATTAAGCATGGATATTTTATAATATATCTGTTACAATTTATTGTTGAAATGGCGCTGATACAATATTTTTGTTAAATAAATACAATTTTCTATTATTGTATTTATTATTACTCTATTCACTCACGAATGATGTCAGCATGGTAATTGCTGTAGTAATGTTCGAGCATGCCTATTTTCGGATATCAATGGTAAGTTTTTATAATATTCAAATGGATGTGGTTTCTTTACAAGCTACTTTATTATTAATGTTTATTTAGCATTTAAACAAAGAAGTGATTTTAAAACATTCTAGGAAATCTACTGGATGAATCTGAAGTACTTGACTGGATGGTTAAACAGAAAGAGGACGAAAGTATTGAAGAAATAGATAGAGATCAATTGTTTAAGTACATCGAAACAAAGGAATTTTTAGCCGTTGTTTTCTGTAAGTGAATATTTTGGTTTAAAATTTAATTATATTTCATCGTAAAGTTTTCAGGGTTAAAAATTTCATAATCCTTTCAGATAAAGAAGATGATCCAGGAAGCCCAAGAGTATTAAGACACGTAGAATTAATCGACGATGAAGCTGCAGAATATGGCATAAAAATTGTTAAATGTAGCGATCGCTTAATGGCAAAAAAATATGGCTTTCGTAATCCGCCTGGCATCACATATTTTAGAAAAACAAAATACATCAATTATGATGGTGATATTGATGACGAAGAGGAGATTTTAGATTGGTTGACAAATCCGGAGAACATGGAATTAACTGATCATATAGAAAAAGTCAATAGAAAAATGTTTCAGAAAATAAGGCAAACTTCTGATTATGTTGCCGTGTTCTTTTGTGAGTTTTATTTAATATTTCTTTTTATGTTTAGAATATTTTTCTGGAATACCTTTACCGTTGGCTTTGTTTTTATTATTATCTGAAAGCAACATGTCTTACAGAATCGAAACTTATTTCAAAGATTAGTATCATATATTGCACTCTCATTGAAATACTTTTGAACTAACTAACACCGGAAACATCCCATATTATTTTTATGTCAAGTTGTCTTTCCTACCTAGGGAGCATCCTAACAATATTCACTTTATTATTTTTGAAATTCAAACCGTATTGCACATAATACATGTTTTAGACAGTAATGACTGCAAGCAGTGCCCTAGAGTATTGGCCGAGATTGAGCACATCGATGACGATGCCGATGGCGCTGGTATAAACTTTGTGAAAATCGACGATAAGCAAATGGCTAAGGAATATGGAGTTTTTGCTCTACCCGCAGTCCTGTTCTTTAAGTTGGGGTCTAAAGATCCAGTGATATATGCAGGTCTGTTCATTTATATAATTACACAACTTAATTTTATTACTTGTGTTTTACATATATCTACCAATTACAGGTGACTTATATGACGAACAACAACTGCTGAGTTGGTTATTGACTCAAAAAAATCCAGCTGGTGATGTTATAGAAGCACTGGAAGGAAAGGATTTAATAGATTTGATTGAAGAGTCTGGATCTGTAGCAGTTTACTTCTGTAAGTTTCCTTATCCGAATTCTAAATACAAACTATACCGATGAAGATCTTAAATAATTAAATATATATATATTTGCTAATGTCACTGTCCTTTTTTGCTTTTAAAAATCGAGTTGATGATAGTAGCTAAATCATTTTAATTTGGTTATAAGCAATCTTCAAGAAATTTAAATACTATGCCACTATGTAATCATTATATGAGTAACAGCTTTATATTTTAATAGGGAATAAAACATTATGTGAACTATGCAATTTGAGAGCAATGCAAAAAACTATAAGAAAAAAAGATAGAGGACACGAAGATGAGGAAGGGCAGGAGCAAGAGGGTACTCCTATCCCTAAAAATATGTCGTTTTATCTCCTGGCACAAATGTCCCAATGTTTAGTTTTTTTTACATCCGTTGCATGAAGCATGCCTCACGTAGTATATTTACACTACATCGGCAACGAAATACATTTATAATAAAACCTTATTTTGGATGTATCATGAATAATATCATAAATAAACATCGTCCGAGTGATTTATATTAGTTATTCAGTATAGATGAATGTTGCCTTGTGGTGGTACGTTTGTTCTGTAAACATGTGTGAATTTATTTTCTGAGAATGATTGTTTACAAATGTGTCATTTTTAGACAATTAGACACAAAGTATTTTTTTTTTCGAAAAGAGAATCAGTAGTTTTTAGGAGCCCATATTGTGCGTTTTTATGTAGTCATAAGGTTTTTCAAGGCAGTGTATTGACACTAAAACACCTGATTATTTCAGATAGTCTTGATTGCGAACAGTGCACAGGCATATTGGAAGAGCTTGAAAATATTGATGATGATTGTGATAGACACGAAATAAAATTTGTAAAGACTCAAGACTACTCGATTGCAGAAGCTTACGGTGTAACCGATTTTCCTGTTCTAGTATATTTCGAACACAATATTCCAAATGTTTATGAAGGATCTTTGGCAGAGGAAGAGGAAGTTCTTCAATGGCTAATTACACAAAAAACTGAAGATTGTATAGAACTCATAACCAGAGTTATGTTGGAAAAAATGGTGGAAGAAACACAGTATTTGGCAGTTTACTTCTGTAAAGAAATTTATTTTCTTTAGCGTTATCTTAAACTGACGAATACTTTTGCAAATCTGAAATAAATATTATTTTACAGATAAATTGAATTGTCACATTTGTGACCATATACTTGAGGGCTTGGAGAAAATCGACGACGAATGTGACGTATATGGCATCCATATGGTAAAAATTCAAGATCCACAACTTGCAAAACGTTATTCCATTAAAACCTTCCCTGCTATGGTATACTTCCGGTAATAAAATATGCTAAGCATATTTAGATATTATAATTAAATGTTACAAAGTGTATTAATTTCCATTTGTTACATTCAACAGCAACGGCAACCCACTTTTGTTCGAAGGTGATTTACAAAATGAGGAATCAATTTTAGAATGGCTTATTGATGATGATAACCGAGAACTAGCAGATGAAATAGAATCAGTCAATGAAAGGATGCTTGAAAGATTGCTTTATGAATCACACTTATTAGTTGTCTTTTTCTGTAAGTATGTTTTAAAAGATATTTAAATAGTATTGATACAGAAATATTAAGATTCTTCCTCTCTTCTTCAGTCCAACCTGGACTTCTACCGTTGTAGATATGGTTTGCATACCATATTTTCTGGGCTGCTTTAGTTGCCTCTTACGACGCTTACTACATGAGGGCGGTGATGATTTATCGTATGGTGCTATGCAAATTCATTACATTTAATTACAAATTATTACGGTTAAATTATATTAGTGCAATAATATGTATGTATTTTAGATGATGACGAAGATTGTCCAGAATGCGAAGAAATTCTTGAAGCTTTAGAGCAAATTGACGGTGAAGTAGATCAGTATGGCATTGATTTCGTAAAGATTGCAAGCATTGAAGCAGCAGCTAAACATAATGTTGTAAATATACCATCATTAGTTTATTTTCGCAAACGTGTACCAATGCTTTACGACGGAGACTTGCATCAAGTTGATAAAGTACTACAGTGGCTTACTTCTCAAGACGTTTTTGAAATCAAAAACGAAATTGAGGAGGTTAACAGAAAAATGTTGGATAAGCTTTTAGACGAGAATGAATTTCTAGCAGTCTATTTTTGTAAGTATTTAGCTTTTTTTGTGTGGTATGTGTTCTTTTCACAAAATAATTTTTCTGTGTGTGTTTTAGACGAAAAGTCTGCAGAAAGTCGAGCAGTATTAGATAAACTGGAAAATATAGACAGCGAAACGGACAATTTAGATATAACATTCGTGAAAATGCAAGATCCACGCTATGCACGTAAATGGGGTGTCACAAAATTACCAGCTATTGTTTACTTTAGGAAACGCTTTCCTAGTATTTACAGAGGTAAAAGAAAATTCATAATATAACGGATTTTAAAGATTTATGTTATGTTCAAGCTTCAAGGTATTTACTTGTTCTAGGTGATATCATGTCCGAGACTGAAGTATTGGAATGGCTTCGTAAGAATAGATTTCGACAACCCGAACTCAATATTTTTATGTATGCTTTAATAGCGCTTTCTGTAGCATTCGTCATGTACACTGCCTTTTTGATGCAGTGTTTCAAACCATCTCCACCCTCAGCCACGCAGCATCCAAAACAAGCGTGAGGGAATTTCATCCCTCTATAGACTTATTTAACGACTGTGACTGACCTCCTGGTCTACTGTGTAATAATTCTGACTTACATGTTATTCAGTTCACCACAGCGCTCTGATACAAAACTTAAGTGATCCAAATGAAGTGGGATTACAGTGTCATTTTGATACAGCTACGCGTATTTGGGATCAAACTTTTATTTTGATAGAAGTTAATAGATTTATGTATTGATGCTATGTGACCATATCCCGTTACTAATATACTCGGATAGATTTTTTGGTTGATTTCGTAATGTAATATTATTATTTATTACTTAATATTTCAGGTGATAAAAAGTCGATTGTCCTTTTTTATTGTGTGACGGGTTATGGCTACATTTTTCTTATTATTTTTGATGGTAAGTATCTAAATTTTATAAAATAAAGTAATCCTAATTTTAAGTATATATCAGGATTAACCTTTTAAGCGTATTACTGATATTACTGTGTGAGCACTCAATGCTCCCTTCTATACAATGTTTATTACTCTCTATATACTCCCTTCTATTCTATACATTGTTAAAATGAATGTGGCCAGGTTTCTATGATAACATTAAATTGTTTAGACATTAATTATATATTATATTAATGTCTATTACCTTGTACGATATATGCCAGTTAGTACGTAAGCTGCGAATAACTGGGAATTAAATTAAGGACCAAAAGGAAGAAAAAACATAATAGCAGACACATTTTTAAAATTCAAATGAAAACATTACAGGAGTACTAATGTGGACGCTAATAATATTCCGCTCACCAGATGTCGCTTGTTGGACCTGAGGCGAACATTGAAAAATATCGTTTTCAATAGAAGTTTTTTCAATTTCTGTTGTATTTATATAAAAAAAAAACATCGCCTCAGTGGTGTGCTCTTTAATTTTCGCACATACTGCGTTATTTCTAATCAATTTTTTTTTATTCTTCCACTTTTAGAAATACCCCTAATTTGATTTATACATTTTTAATCTAATTGCTATCAAATATTCAATAAATATTCAAATTTCCAGAAGAAGACATTAATAATTAAACTTTTCTAACAATTTTACTTCCCCGTTATGAAATCTGTCGCCTTGTCACCTTGGTGACAGGAAAAGTTGGTGTTTCAGCTAGCCAACTAATCAGATTCCTTCATATAGCACAGAAACAGAGTGAGTTCGAGTCATCGTTTCAAGTTTTTGATAAAATATTTTTTACAATGACATTATACATCGTCAAAGTGAACTAATGACAGCTTATTGCTGCAATGCAATTATAACGAATTACTTTTACATTTTCTAATTGGTAATCATATTTTATGTAATTGATCATTTAAAAGTTTTATTTTTCATTTTAATGCGTTTTTTATTACTATGTTTTACATATTTTCTAGTTTTGGGTATCTGATATTAATAGATTGATTTCGTATTGTAGTGATATTCCCGAAATATTCTGTATCATTCCCGTTCGTTCATAATTTAAAATCTTTAGTCGGTTTAACCTAATTTATTTTTATTTCCTACATATTAAATTCAAATAATTATTTTATAGTTCACGTAACATAAGTTTGTCTTTATTTTACTCCCTCCCTCTAATGACAGTTAGGCTACGTAAACCGTACGGTTTCTTTTCTCATGTGGTAAAGCTCTACGTCGTTAGAAACATCTGTTACGTGAAGAACATTTTTTATGTTATATTTTTAATATTTTATTTGACCCCATCCCAATATAGAATGCTAACACATATTAATTTCTATCCATTATACGGGATTATGACTAAACGAATTATACGTAATTATAATAACGTTGTAAATTCAATTTTGTTTCTTTATTGAATGTGAAAAAAAAGTATGAATTTTGTTCCATATTCAAATGCTTGCGACGATAATGCTCAATGGAGTAGACAGTACTTACGTGGCGAGGAGCGTGTGCAAGTTTCAAACACTAATAAATAATGTTGTATATAAAATGTAAATATAATATTAAAATGATATAAAAATAGCAAAAATTTTCTGTTGTTTTATTTTTACCTAATAAGTTACAGCCTGTATACGTCGCATTCCTGAGCACAAGTGTTCTCTAATTTATAAGAGGGATTAAGCGCAAAAAAATCTCTATCTAGCTGCCATAATGTCAGTTGGCAGACTTTGTATGTCTTCGATAAACTTATTTTTTATTTTTTTTTTACGTACTTTACTTTATTTTATTTTTCTTACGATGTTTTCCTTCACCGCTGAACAAATGTTAAACCAGCGCTTATAATTGCAATTAACAATTTCATTAGTGCCGGTGGGGATCGAACCCCACCGGCACTAATGAAATTGCTCGCGTACTTTGAAATTTACTGCGAGCGCTTAGCCACTGATCTACCCGGCTCTATTTATTTTGTAGAACGGGTACATAGAGACAAACACACTAAGTTTTTTACATTCTACCCTACAATAAATAAACTTCATTTGACTGTTCTTTCCATTACGTGTTATTTGTTCTGTCTCATTCGCTTATTGTGGTATATTTTATGAATTAAAACAAGTTTATTGATCAAGATCCGTGATTGTATTTCTTAAAACATGTTTTATACAAATTTCATACTGAATTTCACGTCATAATAACGATGTTGAGTTGATTGAGTACTTCAGTACAATATATTTGAAAAAAACATCAAATGTAATTTATTTAAACAAAAACAAAAAACAAACGTAATTTATTTAAGAAAGCATTAATATAAAAATAAAAAAAACTCTATTTTTAATCTACTACATACCACACCACATAACTACATATAATGGGACGTGCAAATAAGTATTAATATTTTAACAGTGTTATTTATTTTAACTTATTATTATACTATTTTCATATAATCTTGTAATGGCGGCGTCAGAACCATCACTTTTTTTTATAGGATAGGGTGACAAACGAGTACACGATGCACCTGATGGTAAGTGGTTGCTGTGACCCATAGACATCTACATCTATCCGCAATAAAGTCTCAAAATGCAGATGCGTTGTCACCCGTGAGGACTAAGATGGAATGCCTCTTTTCCAGTAAAATTGGTCTCCGGTTCTCTAGAATCACCATACGAAACAGCAGCGTTAAGCTGCTATTTTACGTTGGTATTCTGTGAGCGCGTGGTCCTTCCCCGGTCGAGCCGACCCATTCGTGCTACAACTATACTACTAATATAGCTGCAGCATGGCTCTACCACGTAAACTAACTACCCTATATATACCCTATATATCATTCTGTAGGTGTCGTAATGGATGACTGGGAGAGAAACTGAACCAGGAGATGGGCAGCAGCGTTATAACAACTAGAGATTAAGCTGCGGTTGTCAAACCGGCTGCCAAGTGTGGCAACTATACCAAATACCTCCCTTGAGGCATTGTATGAGGAGGCCTATGTGGACTCTAATCGGCTGCAATGAATTAATTCAGATCCAAAACCCAGGAGTAGGATTCTTACCCCCTGTTACGTGTTGAGGGGGCTGCGGCTACTGGAAATGTTACTTTATTTTAACCGACTTCAAAAAAGAGGAGGTTCTCAACTCGGGTGTATCGAGGTTGGTCCCATATGAATTTGGAGAGAAAATTCCACACCTAAGGATATCAAATAAATAACTTCTTTTTTAGCAATTGGAAGACAGTTTTTACTTTTTGTTAAAAGTTATAATTATTTTATTCTTTCTCTTGTGTCCGAGTCAAAAAAGTACCTACACTGAGCCTCTTTTTTTTTAATTCAAAAATTAATTCCCTTTATTGCGTTACACAAGTCTTGCGCTTTTAAAAGGCGCTTGTAAATCAAAACTATTGATTGATCGTCAATTGGAGGTTCAGTTTTACCTGATTATGTTTTTATTGAACTTGAAGTAGTTCTAGTACTTTTGTAGCTAGAGTTAGGTCTGTACGGTATATTTTAAATAAATGCTACATTATTAATTACCCGTATACAAAAAACACCATTATAAAACCTACATAAATGTTTATACCATTATATATAAAATATCTACATCTTGTAATAAGGAACTTAGCTCTTACCATCAACCGGCAGCACATTTAAAAATAATTATTTTGACTTACGAATACCTACGTTTAACTAATTAAATTTAAAACCTATTATTACCTTACTTACAAAATCTCTAAAACTATATTGAGCAATATATAATATTTGGTACATTTTATTGTTTTAATCTGCAAGCTAAAGTTTATTAAAATATAAAAAAATCTGCGTAATTACACTTAATGAAAACATAACCAGTAGTGTGTAGAAATCGTTTGAAAATTGTTGGTTCGGAAATCACTCCGTAACAACGTTACGATATTATTGTAACTTAAAATAAGATATTAATATAATAATGTAATAACTCTACTTGTAATCGATACTGACACGTTTACAAACTTTAAAACGAAGTCAACAACGATTTCTACCAGAGTTAAACAATCGCAATGCGAGTGTTCGTTGAGCTAATGAACGAAATTCCTGTACTATCGAGGTAAACGAAGATAGTCCAAATCTCACAAATGTACGAATGTACAAACTGATACCAGTACTACATATTATTCTGTGGTTATACGTGCGCGCATTCACGGATAACAGATTTTGTATTTATCTCCTTTGTAAGTTTATAACGTACATGAGTTTAATAATATACATTCATAATTTATTTTTATAGTGTAATATATTTCTCTGATTGCATCGATGCTATTAAAATATGTCTTTGTCTATGTCTAAAGGAAACACTATTACAAAATAACGTAACAGCTTGCATACTTTCTACGATTGAGCACAGGTTTCCTCTTTTTTGAGAGCGTTACTTAGAACGTACATTATAATTACAAAACAGAACGAAGAGAGCCTGTGTCTTCAAGAAACTTCTTTTTAAAAGACTGACAAATCTGCAATTCATCAGGTGCCGCATGTTCGTTTGGAACCTTCTATAAAACGCAAAAAAAACACTTCATACATGTGAGATTGAAAACTTTGACCTCTTTTTCAAGCCTAAGAGCCTTACTATTTATAATAGGATGGAATACCGTGTTATTTGTTTTTTTTCCTATAAATTATGGATTTGTCTTGCTGTCTCGGTTGATTTCTGAACTTTAGAACGCCCAAATCCATACTAATATTATAAATGTAAGTTTGTAAAAATGTTTAGATGTTTATTCCTTCATCACGCACAAACGCCTAAATAGACTTGGTTGATATTTATCTCACAGATAAACCACGTTTATTAACTGGATTAAGTAACAAATGGTATACCTTCACCAAAAAAAAAATTATCACGGGAAAATGAATATAATAAGTTTGCACTCTCTTTATTCCAATGCGTGCATGTTTTAAAATGTACCACAAGAAAGATAGAATAGAAATAATCTTTCTATTCTATTATATTTTTATCTTTCTAATAGATCTGTTACTCTTTGTTTGTTGCGGTATCTTCTTTTCTCACAGGTTCTTAAATAATATGTTTACAGCATTGACATCACTAAGTTATAACTAGATTCATATTCTTATGATCCTTTGAGTATTTTGACTTCTCTGTCTCGAACAACTCAACAAGTCGCTTCGTAAATTCCGCATGTACAGCGTCCACTTCCTCATCAGTAGGATCAAGGTTTCTCTCCACTTCCATGGGAACTCCAACTGAAAATAAAAGGTGCTCTTCAAACTAGGCAAGACATCGTTTTATTTCATTATGCTGATTTAAGCAAATTAATTTTTAACAACTTTAATGTAATGGATTTAAGCAAAGTAACGCCTGACTCTATTAATTAAGTATATAAATATATGTATAACATTAGGAAGTGTTTTAAAATCAAAGCACTTTCGGTCAGGTCTGTAACGAAATTACTGTGAATAAATTACTGTAAATAACTTAATACTATGTGTAAATTAAACTCAAATTTGTATTACTGTAAGTTATAGGTAACTTAATACTGTTGCGCGCCACTTAATACTGTAGCTTGAAGCTTAGGAGATTTCCCTTTGCTGCGAACTGGATTGTGTAACCACACTAGAGAACCTTCATCAAACCCCTTGTTGTTTATTTTGCGGTCATACCGTGTTTTCATCTTCTCAGACGTTTGCTGGCCCGTCTGTCTGACGTGCTTATAAATGTCATTCATTTTGTTCCGCAAGTCATTTGCATAATCGGTTATACTGCGTGGGGCATCTGGTGGTATTCCGGTGATCAGGTCTGCAGGCAGCCGTAATTCTCTCCCAAAGTTTGCGAAAGCTGGCGTCAATGATGTACTTTCGTGAACAGCGCTTCGATATGACAACAAAAACGGTTGTATGTGCCTGTCCCAGTCTCGTTGCCGTTTTTCCACAACTTTTGCCAGGTACCTTTCCAATGTCTGATTAAATCGTTCTACCATTCCATCAGATTGTGGGTGGTAAGAAGTTGTTCGTGTTTTATGAGTACCCATAACTCTGCAAGTTTCCTGGAATATTTGAGACTCGAAATTCCTTCCTTGATCGCTGTGAATCTCTAACGGTACTCCAAAACGACAGAAGACTTCATGAACTAGTTTCTCTGCAATTGTTGAAGCTTCTTGATTTGGAATGGCGAAGACTTCTGGCCACTTAGTGAAGTAATCCATCACAACCATGAAATACTTGTTACCACTTTCACTTTCCGGAAACGGCCCCGCAACGTCAATGGCTATCCTCTCCCATGGTGCACCAACATTGTACAATTTCAACGCGCCTCTACTACGAATTTGAGGTCCCTTTACAGCCGCACAACTTGTACATTTGCGGCACCAGTCCTCGACATCGTCACGACAGTGAACCCAGTAAAACCGTTCTCGGATTTTCAGTAGAGTTCGTTTAACTCCCAGGTGGCCTCCTGAACAACCACTATGGTACAGCTGTAGAACATCCGGTACTTTAGCCTTAGGGACAACCATTTGCAAATGACAACTGTCTCCCCGACCATTTTCCCATTTACGGCACAGGACTCCATCCTGAATCAGCAAGCTGTCCCATTGGGCCCAATAGCTTTTCGTGGTCGAACTCATTGCTGAGACGTCGCTCCACTTGGGCTTAGGAGCACTGGTCTTCATCCATTCCAGAATCGGCTTAATATCCGAATCTTCCTGCTGTGCATGTTGTAGGCTGTCCTTCCACTCATTGCTGAGCTGGTCTGTCCTGAGCATCCTCACAGATACCACTTCCTTACCCTCTTGCCTAGTACAATGCTTGCAATCTTCAGGGCAAGGTCTTCTTGACAATGCATCTGCATTGCCATGAGATTTCCCGCTGCGATGTTCGATCACAAAGTCGTATTCCTGCAGTAGTTCAATCCATCTCGCAACTTGTCCTTCCGGATTTTTGAACTGCAATAGCCATTTCAGTGCAGCATGGTCAGTTCGTAAGTGGAATTTCCGCCCTAGAAGATATTTGCTAAAATGCTGCAAGGACTTTACCACAGCAAGCAATTCCCGTCTTGTGACACAATAGTTCCTTTCCGGCTTTGACAACGACTTGCTGAAGTACGCTATCACAATCTCTTGATCACCATTTCGTTGAGACAACACACCGCCAAGTCCTATATCACTTGCGTCTGTGTCAACTATAAATTCCTTGCCCGCATCAGGGTACCCCAAAATAGGTGTTTTGCACAGACGGTTCTTGAGCTCCTGGAATGCAATATCGCAACTTTCATCCCAGCAGAATTGTCGCTTCTCCTCGGTTAGCTTGTGCAGAGGTTTGGCTATATCTGCAAAGTTCTTCACAAATCGCCGATAATAAGAGCACAAACCCAAAAATGCTCTAACCTGTGTCTTGTCTTTTGGGACCGGCCACTCCTTGACAGCAGCAATTTTCTCTGGATCCGTGCGGATACCTTCTTCCGACACTACATACCCCAAAAAACTAACTTGCCGTTTGAATAGTGAGCACTTCTTTGGACTCAACTTGAGGTTGGCACTCTGGATCTTCATGAGCACGCGTTCCAGGGTTTGAAGGTGTTCCTCAAACGTACGGCCTACGATAATGATGTCATCCAAATAGACGAGACAGGCATCTCCAATTAGCCCGGTCAGTACAAGCTCCATCAACCTTTCAAACGTTGCTGGAGCATTGCACAATCCAAACGGCATGACTTTAAATTGCCACAGGCCCTTTCCTGTGGAGAATGCAGTTTTCTCCTTGTCCTTAGGGTCAATTTCAACCTGCCAGTAGCCACTTTTCAGATCCAGCGTACTAAACCACTTTACGCCTGTAAGCATGTCCAGCGTGTCATCAATTCTTGGCAAGGGATAGCTGTCCTTCTTTTTAACGTCGTTCAGGCGGCGGTAATCAACACAAAACCGCATGCTGCCGTCCTTCTTCTTTACCAGCACCACAGGTGAACACCATGGACTAGATGAAGGTTCAATAACACCATCCTTCACCATTCCCTCAATCATGGTTTCCACTTCCTTTTCACGTGCTACAGGCAATCTTCTTGGCCGCTGACGAATAGGCAATTCTTGTCCTGTGTTTATTTTGTGTTGAACTAAGCCAGTCTTTCCTATGTCAGCTTCGTTTGACGAGAAAACATTGGCGTACTTGAGTAACAACTTCTTCGCTTTGACCGTTTCATTCGGGGAGAGAACGCTGCGACAGTCTTCTAAAAGTGTGGTCACTCTAGTTTGTCCATCCTTGCTGGGTGTCCCAGTCGATAGATATTCGCACCGACGCAACCAATCCACTTCCTCACTAGTACCAACCAATGTGCCTTTTTCTATAATCTGTTCCTGATCACAAAGGTTCAGCACACGTACTCCTAAGATGGCGGCGGTTCTGACCAAGGTTCGACCCACTTTCCATGGAAGGTCATTGTCTACCCTTTCCACGAGTACACAACGAAGAGTTTGCCCAGGATTCCGTGGAAGTCTAACCGGCACAATCGTTTCCGATCTCGGCGGAAGAACAATCTTCTTAAGACTGTACACATTCCCTGGTAACGCCCCTTCCACGAAGAGTTCCTCTTGTCCACATTTCAAAACACCTTGCTTAACGTCGATCTCACAACAATTCTTCCTCATAAAGTCTAGGCCCAGGATGCAGTCGTCCATTATATCAGCCACGATGACATTATGCAGGTAGATCATGTTGCCTAGCTTCAACTCCATCTCCTGCTCTCCTCGGATGGGTATGCGCTGACCGGTGGCTGTCACCAAATTAATGCGTTCGCGGTTGTATGCGGAGTCCCCAAGGAACCGACTTAAAAGTTGGGAACTGACAACCGTGCGAGAGGCTCCAGTGTCTATGGTCAGTTTACACGGCGTTCCGTTGACTTCGCCCTTGATGATTAGGCTGTTCCCATCATGGGTTTGTGAGATCGAAATCCTTGGGGCTCTTTTACCATCAGCCAGCACCCGCCCCGCAGTCCTGGCTTTTACTCGTTTCCCTGCTGCTGCTGGGCGGTGCTATTAGCCGCACTACCCTCTCGAGATCGATCACCTTCCCTTTCTACAGTTCGCTTAGGGCAGCTGGATCGAAGATGGCCCCTTTCTCCACAGCCGTAGCACCTAGGGCTGTAGCTTTTATTGCGGTCCCGAACTGTAGCTGCTGCAACCTCCCTGACGCGGTGGGAACGATGATCCTGCCGCACGGCTTCCACCTCCAGTGCATGGGTCAAGGCGTCCTTAAGCGTCTCGTGGTGCCCGAGCCTCACAGCAGCTCTGACTTCAAGGTCGCGGATGCCGTCGATGAATGTCTGCACCAGGTTCCCTACAATAAGCGCAGGTACCGACTGGTACGCTTTTCGAACCAGCTTCTCCACCTCAAGGGCCCACTGCTGCAGGTTTTCGTTACTGCGTTGCACGCGATCTTTGAGCTGCGCACGAAAGACGTGTTCCAGGTGAGCGTTGCCATATCTCGCCTCCAATGCCTCAAGGAGCTGCTCGTAAGTCACTTCCTTACCGAGAGCTTCCAGAACAGTTAATGCCTGGTCGCGCAGGCCTAGGGTGAGAGCAGTCATGGCCTGACTTTTATTCCAGCCGTTCGCTTTCATGACAGACTCGAACTGGATTTTATAGGCCGACCAGGAAGAAGTCCCGTCGAACGGTGGCACTTTGAATCCACGTAGCGAAGGTGTTGTAGCTACCACGGGAGCTGTAACTCCATCCCCAATTTTGAGGTCGTTCAGCGTTTTCTTCACGTCAGCCATCACATTGTCAACCCGATTGTACACTTGGTCGATTCGGGTTTCAGCTTCCGACAGGCGGTTGTCATATTGAGCAACCTTATCCTTCACCTCACTTATTTCTTTCCCGAAGGTAGCGTGAAGGTCCTTCATGAGAAGTATCTGCTCTTCCTTATCGCGTTTGATTTGCTCTTCCAACCGACGGCCCTGTTCCTCCTGTTGGCGGGCTTGTTCCTCCTGTCCGCGCTGCAGCTGCTCTTCCAACCGACAAGCCTGTTCCTCCTGTCGGCGGGCCTGTTCCTCCTGTCGGCGGGCCTGTTCCTGCAGCATCATCATCAGAGTACCTAAGTCAAGTGCTGCAGATGCAGGAGCTGCTGACGGGCCGGCCTCCGTGGTCGGCAACTGGCCTGCCGACGTCTGTGACGTTGCACCACCAAATCGTTTCTGGTCCGTCTCCTGTTGGCGTTGACTTCGGGTACGGATACCCTCGGTGTCGTCTTTAGGTAAAATCGGCATATTTGATCCCACTTCTGACACCAATTGTTACGCGAGCTTGAGGTTCGAGACAATTAAAAACTGCCGATTGAATTACCAAAATTGACACTTTAATTACGGATACTAATTACACCTTAAAACACACTAATAATAAAACACAGTTCGCCGTTATTTCGCTTCGAAGTATTCTCTTGTATCGCCAATTCAATACTGCCTCGATCGTGGTCTATACCGGCCTTATATAGGGCCTCAGATAGTTCCAGAATCTTCTACTGTAGCGACATCTAGAATGTTCGAGTACATATCGGTCCCGAAATTTCTGGAAGGATCTTGACTCTCCTAGTTCTGCTACCCGACACTAGAGGGCGCTAGTGTACCTAGTGTTGCCATGTACAAGACACTAATAGTGGCACGCAATACTTTCATTTACTCGACACTAGGGGGCGCTAGTGTAACTAGTGTTGCCATGTACAAGACATTAATAGTGGCGCGCAACACTGCCCCCTCCTAAGACATGCTCGTCCCGAGCATTATTGGCCCCATAATAACGCGCCAGTCGATCTACATGGACAATCTTAGGAGTACCTCTGGCACCTTTCTGTATCCGGTAGGTTACGTCATTGATCCTTGTCACAATCCGGTACGGTCCGTCCAATTTCGGGACCGATATGTACTCGAACATTCTAGATGTCGCTACAGTAGAAGATTCTGGAACTATCTGAGGCCCTATATAAGGCCGGTATAGACCACGACCGAGGCAGTATTGAATTGGCGATACAAGAGAATACTTCGAAGCGAAATAACGGCGAACTGTGTTTTATTATTAGTGTGTTTTAAGGTGTAATTAGTATCCGTAATTAAAGTGTCGCAGAAGAACACAAAAACTCTCCGATCACACTCTTAATCTCATGGCTGTTAGACGGGAGATGAAGCTACATTCTTCAACAGATTTGACAGCATACAGGCAACTGAACAGACAGATCTCCAAATGCATGCGGCGGGACTTACGCAACTTCAATACAGCTCGTATTGAAGAAGCGATCGAGCGGAACCAAGGCTCCAAAGTCTTTGCCAGAGATCTGTCTGCCAGAAAGAGCCAACTGTCAAAGCTGAAGACCGAATGTGGCAGCATCGTTTCCGGGGCACCTGAGATTTTGAGTGAGATTGAGAGGTTCTATGGGCAGCTGTACACGTCATCGTTGGAGCCACACGCAAGTGTGAGTAACGATCCAAGAGCGAGTCTTATCCGACATTATTCCGATGATATCCCGGACGTCAGTCTGAGCGAGATTAGAATGGCTCTCCAGCACCTTAAAAACGGCAAGGCCCCAGGCCAGGATGGAATTACAGCGGAGCTTCTGAAAGCGGGTGGAAAACCGGTACATGAAGTCCTTCAGAAGCTCTTTAATTCCGTCCTCCATGGTGGCATTACACCGGAGGCGTGGAGCAGAAGTGCGGTGGTCTTGTTCTTCAAGAAAGGCGACAACGCTCTTTTGAAGAACTACAGACCGATTTCCCTTCTGAGCCGCGTCTACGTGCTGTTTTCGAGAGTCATTACGAATCGTCTCGCGCGCAGACTTGACGACTTCCAGCCTCCCGAACAAGCCGGTTTCCGAAAAGGCTTTAGCACCATAGACCACATACATACCCTTAGGCAAATTGTACAGAAGTCCGAAGAGTACAATTTGCCACTATGTCTGGCGTATGTGGACTATGAGAAAGCCTTTGATTCCGTCGAAATTTGGGCGGTGCTGCAGTCCCTTCAGCGATGCCAAGTTGACTGTCGGTATATCGAAGTGTTGAAGTGCTTGTACAGTAGGGCTACGATGGCTATCCGAGTACAGAACCAGAGTACGAAACCTATCCAATTGCAGAGAGGTGTAAGACAGGGTGACGTCATATCCCCGAAACTCTTCACCGCTGCATTGGAAGATGTTTTCAAGCTTCTGGACTGGAAAGGATACGGTATCAACATCAATGGCGAGTACATCACTCACCTTCGATTTGCCGACGATATAGTCCTTATGGCAGAATCGCTGGAGGACCTAAGCACTATGCTCAATGACCTCAATAGTGTTTCCCAACGGATAGGTCTTAAGATGAACATGGACAAAACAAAGATCATGTTTAATGTCCATGTCACACCTATGCCGGTAGTTGTTGGGAACACTAAGCTCGAAGTTGTTGACGAGTATGTTTACCTGGGACAAATAGTCCGATTAGGTAAGTCCAACTTCGACCGAGAGGTCAATCGACGGATTCAACTCTGTTGGGCAGCGTTCGGGAAATTACGGCACATCTTCTCGTCAGGTATACCTCAAAACTTGAAAACGAGACTGTACACCCAGTGCGTGTTGCCAGTGATGACATACGGAACTGAGACGTGGTCCTTCACTGCTGGCCGGATGAGGAAGCTCAAGGTCGCTCAGCGAGCTATGGAGAGGGCTATGCTCGGAGTTTCTCTGCGTGATAAACTCAGAAATGAGGATATCCGCAGTAGAACCAGAGTGACCGACATAGCCCAACGGATTAGTAAGCTGAAGTGGCAATGGGCCGGCCATATAGCTCGAAGAACCGACAACCGATGGGGAAGAAAGGTTCTCGAGTGGCAGCCTCGTACCGGCAGGCGAAGTGTAGGGCGTCCCCCCACTAGATGGAGTGACGACCTGGTAAGATTTGCAGGAAGTCGATGGATGCAGGTGGCTCAGGACCGTGCTTTGTGGCATTCTTTGGGGGAGGCCTATGTTCAGCAGTGGACTTGTGAAGGGCTGTAATGATGATGATGATGAATTAAAGTGTCAATTTTGGTAATTCAATCGGCAGTTTTTAATTGTCTCGAACCTCAAGCTCGCGTAACAATACTATGTGTAAACTCAAATAATTATACACTTTAAGGAGATTTTCTATCATCGCTCCGCTTGGTTGTGTTGTGTGTGAGTATTATGTAACTCTTTGGGTTTGTGTATCTGCCGATCACAAATAAACACTCATTGTACCTAATGGTAGGAAGATAATAATATTCGTTCATATTAGTAAGTCTTTTACACGCAAAGAAGCTACATATCTCCTTTAGGAAACCTAGGCTTTACAAACTGTAGGATGATGTAAATGGACGAATCTCCTTTCGTATTTCATTGATTATTAATAATTTTTATACAATACTAGAGATCCACCCAAGCTGCTCACGGGTGATTTCTGGATCTCGGCAACAGTGACACCTACTAGGTCACTGTGAATCCAAACCATACTTTACGTGGTAGAGCCAAGCTGCAGTTATAATATTATATTTGTAGCACAAATGCTCGGGGTGAGACCACGCTCTCACAGAATACCAGCATAAAACAGGAGCTTGATGCTGCTATGTATCATATGGTGAGTGTAGAGAACCGGAGACCATTTTTACTGGAAACGAGACACTCCATCTTAGTCCTCAGGGGTGACAACGTATCTGCATTTTGATTCTTAATCGAAAATAAATGTATATATCCATGGGCCACAGTATTCACTTACCATCAGGTGGACTGTGTGCTCGTTTGTCACCTTTATTCTATAAAAAACCATCCAGGGATCCACTCAAACGCATACAAAAATTTCATCATAATCCTTCGAGCCGTTTTCGAGTTTTAGCGAGACTAAAGGACCGCGATTGATTTATGTATATACAGAGTTTTAATTTTATAACTAGTAGGTAAAGCCATAGAAGAACAAAAATATCGAGACAGGTCAATCGCAACAGGCCCGAAAACTCGAAGATGAGGACAATATGTATTAGAACAACCAGTCAGCAATATAGCTCGACAAACCGACAACCGGTAGGGAAGATCCTGATTAAGGCTAGGGTTGCCATCTGTCCGCCTTTAGCCGGACATGTTTGGCTTTTCGGGGTTGTGTCCGGCCAAATTTTTATGTGTCCGGCCTGTCCGGCTTTTGTTAGGCTTTTTGTTAGTGTAACGCGTTGCACGCATCGCTTGGTGGTTGTTGAGTTGGAGTTGGTGAGTTTTTTGGCTGCATGGCAACAGAAAGGTATGTTTGGCTTTCTAAAATTACTGTCCGGCTTTTAGGGCCAAAAGTCAGACTTTTTGGAGCGCCGAGTGCGTTTCATTTTAGGAGATGGCAACCCTAATTAAGGCGGGGTATTCATGTTTTTGTCCTTTTTAAAATTGGTTTTTAATAGCCATATATATATATATACATATATATGCATTCTTTCTCCTTACGATTAATACAAGATACAATACAATTTTCTTGATTGAAAAAATTACCGAACTACGTTCGATTTGCAGTTTTTTTACAAACCAAATTTAATTTTAATTAAGTACTATACTCCTTTGTTTTATAAAAAATATCAATTTATAGGTAATTCATTTTGGAATCAATTCCACCCGTTTTTTTTTTCATTACATTTATAAAAAGAAATATCCATTATTCAAGTGATTTTCGCTTGCCACTTGCCAGTTGCCAGTGTCCGCGGGATGTTGCCGAGGTGAGATTTGTGCCAAATTTTTGCGGGCGCACTTCTCTTCTCTTACGTAAATAATGTTTAGGAAATAAAATTAATTATCTAATAAAATAAATCTTTTGTGGAACTTATATAAACCACAGTTAAGCTTTTGTTTGTGTTTTTATTTCTCATTGTGTAAATATTTGTTTATAACTTCAAAACAATATTTTAGTGATTATTTTGTAAAAGTCACGATCATATGCGCGGCCCGACTCGATCTTTGTGACGACCGCCTGTACACTGCGCACATTATAAGGAAGTTACTAAGAACATTTATTTTGTGGAAATCTATTAGAAAGGCCTATTTTTAGCAAAAGACTTGGTGATAGGCTGTGGTGATGAATAAGATGATGTGACTTACCAACAGTAGTGACTGGAGACCGGAATGGCACAACACCATAAGAGTACTGGAAAATGCCTCGGCCGATAGGGAACATTGGGGAAATGCCTGTGAGCTCGCGGACTTTCTCTTGGAACTTCCGCAGCAGACTGTCCCGTGGGTTGTTCAACGGACGGAATACATTTGTTTCACCGAAAGAAAATACAGGAACCAAGGGGGCTCTGAAATAATGTAAAACGTAGTTTGCTAAATATGCAAGGCATGGGAAGAAAAGTACTTTAATTTTTATAACTTTTTATTTTTTATTTGATACTCATGTAAAAGCTTTTTTTTATAGCATAAGGGTAACAAACGAGCACACAGTCCACTTGATATTAAGTGGTTGCTGTGACCCATAGACATCTATATCTATCCCCAATAAAGAATCAAAATGCAGATGCGTTGTCAACCGAGAGGATTAAGATGGAATGCCTCTTTTCCAGTAAAAAGGGTCTCCGGTTCTCTACACTCACTATACGAAACACATCAGTTTTACGCTGGTATTTTCTGAGAGCGTGGTCCTTCTCCGGTCGAGCAGACCCATTCGTGCTACAACTATACTACTAATATAGCTCCTGTATGGCTCTACCACGTACAAAAAGTTAAACAATAATATACTATTTATGTACTAATAAATAAAATTGAAGTTTGTCTACCGTTACAGCCTACTAAAGTCCACTGCTGAACATAGGCCTCCCTCATAGATTTCTTCATGGGGGGAGGGGGAGAGGGGAGGGGGCGACTTTGTAACGCTACATTGTCCGATGCTATTCAGGTGAAGGCAGGGCAGGCAAGGGCAGGTCGCTAGTACAAACTATTAAAAAAAATGTTGGTGTTTTCTTGGTATACTCATTATAAAGACGAGACATGCGAACCATCGGTGAACCGACCCAAATAATTGGTACTGCACAATCTTATTTTAAATAGACCGCTTGGATGGGACTTATCTATATTGCATAACTGTGAATGCTTTTCAGTTTCAATATATCTTTTTGTTTTTATTAAGTATGTGAAAATGAATTTTTGTTTGAACGTATTTTGCGCTACCATACCGTTCGTCAGATTGCGGTAAAACTTTGACAATTTATTGCTTGCACTTGCGTGAAGGTTATAGGCATACTACAATTAACTTACACTAGGTGGCGCGCGTATTGTACCGACAAATGTATAGTTATATATCATCATTATTATCATTCCTAATTAAACAATAAGTATAACTCTTCGGAATTTAAAAGGATATTTCCCACAATTATTTCTTCAGTGGCACTAATGCGTTGGGTACCAAGTAGTTATTATATATTTTATTAATAATAAGTACGAGTATATTTGATTTTTTACCTATAATTGAGTTGCCTCGCTACTGTAGCAACTCAGAATTCTTTGCAAACGCTAGTACCTAGTATTCAAGGTTTGTCAGTACAACGTAAATAAGTTGTTTTACTAATCCGTGTACAAGCCGGTTTGAATATTATATAATATAAGTATTATAATATAATTATCTTAGGCAGAGCTGACGCCGATTTTGTAACAATAAAAGTGTGTGCAAATTATGGTAATCTAGAATCATAATTACTTTAGTATTCATAATAAATAAAATTTAAATTTATGTCTATAATAGCTAATTAACTGTCTTATGCTTAGCAATTAGTTTATTAGTTATTGTTTGAGCTCATCATATTATATTTACTATAGGAATAGATATTGCTACTCGAGCTTATTTTACTTCAACTATAATTAGCATTCAACTGCAACCATAATTATTGCTGTACCAACAGCAATTTAAATCAGTTGATTAACAACATTACATGGATCTCAAATTAATTACAAACCATCTATTCTATGAATATTACGATTTGTTTTTTTTTATTTACAGTAGGAGGAATAACAGGAGCGACTTTAGCTAATTCTCTTATTGATGTAACATTAATTTTTTTTTTTATAGAATCAGGCTGATAAACGAGCACACAGTCCACAGCCCATAGACATCTACATCTATCTTCGTTTGCGAATTAAAATGCAGATGCGTTGTCAGCTGTGTGGACTAAGATCGAATGCCTCTTTTTCAGTAAAAAGGGTCTCCGGTTCTCTACATTCACTATACGAAACACAGCAGTGTTAATCTGCTATTTTATGCTATGGTATTCTGCGAGAGCGTGGTCCTTCCCCGGTTGAGCCGACCAATTCGTGCTACAACTATACTATTAATATAGCTGCAGCATGGCTCTACCACGTGTAAAATGATACTTATTATGCTCTAGCTCATCTTCATTATGTTTTATCTATAGGAGTAGTGTTTGCAATTACAGGAGGATTTATTCATTGGTATACTTTATTCACAGGATTATTATTAAATCCTTATTTATTAAAAATTCAATTGAACCTAGTATTATACTGCCAACACACACATCTGGTTTATTATTTCATTAGTTTAGAGTTGTTTTTTTTTAAATGGACATTACAGGCATGACTGTGAAAAAAAACTTTTTTATACTTTTAACATACCCAGACTTCATAGCAACACGTACGAATCCCTTTCTTCTACTGAGGATCACTTTGTATTCGCCCGGATGAGAATCCAGCGCCTCAGCAGCGCCGCCGACAATCAGGGTCACACATTTTCCAGCATGTCTCCTCCTGTCCAGCAGGTACAGAAGACTCTCTTGAGACGAAGAGCAACTACCCAAAGCCATAATAAAATCTCTGAAGAGCGGGACCAAGAAATGGCCACCTAATGTAATCATATGGCATGTCATTCCAGGGAACGTCTTATAGAAGTCCAGTGCATTTGTTGCGAACGCTCCAAAAGCCCCGGAACAGACCACGCCGTGAGGGAAACAAGCGAAGAGATAATTCTTTGACGGATCTAAGTCGACAGTTTTGACCAGTTTTATTGGAAAATAGTCCCGGTAGTATCGCCACCAGACCCAGTTTCTCACCCATTCGAACCTAAAATAAAAAAAAGATTGTGTTTAATTTACTGCCCACAAGTCCGCAGCTGAGATCTACTTAATAGATTGACACAAAGCACGGTTCTCAGCCACCTGCATTCATCGACTTAATCATGTTAGGCAAGCCCACACTAAATAGACAAGAATGTCGACCCGCGTTCAATTATTTTTTAGAGCTGTATTAAAAAAAATTTTTTTGGGGCTGCTTCGCGTACTTCATACATTACAATTAACAAAAAAAAAATGTTAATTGCAATTTTAAGTCCTGATTTACCATGTGTTCGACGGTAAAGAAAACTTCGAGAGGAGCTCAGCGGAGAAGGAAACTTGAGGAGAAGAAGAATGACACGTCTGATTATACACTTATATGTATACATACTCGTATACACTTTGTATAAATACAGTCTATCAAAACTTGCAACGCTGCGTTCCTTTCTGGATGGTTCAGAGAGACAGTGTATCTGTAACTTTATTTGTTTGAAGTTGTATGTAGATGACCATGGGTTGCGGTAGCCACTACATACATACACTTAGGTACTTATTAAGCCGACTGCAAGTGCATTTCTCACTTCAATTTTATAAAAACATATGGAATGCCTCACAAGATTTTTTTTAATAGGATAGGGTAACAAACGAGCACACAATCCACCTGATGGTAAGTGGTTGCTGTGGCCCATAGACATCTTCGTCTATCCTCGTTTGCGAATCTAAATGCAGATGCGTTGTCACCCGTGAGGACTAAGATGGAATGCCTCTTTTCCTTTAAAAAAAGGTCTTCGGTTCTTTACACTCGCCATACAAAACACAGCAGTGTTAAGCTGCTATTTTACGCTGGTATTCTGTGAGAGCGTGGTCCTTCCCTAGTCGAGCCGACCCATCAGTGCTACAACTATACTACTAATATAGCTGCAGCATGGCTCTACCACGTATCAAAAAAAAAAGAATCCCTTATAGCTGTGCTGGCTCTCAATACTCTTCCGACGGGAACACAACAGCGCAAGCACTGCTTGGTATTTGGCGGCAGAAGAGGGGTGGTAACCAGACACACTCCTAGGCACGGAGTCCTGTCACTAATCTACGATCATTATGTATTGATAATACAGTCTAGCCGTGGTAGCTCAGATGGTTAGCGCTCGCTGTAAATTTCACAGTACGCGAGAAACCAAGGCCCGATACCCGCCGGTACCAATGAAATTGTTAATTGCCATTTTAAGTGCTAATTTACCACGTACTCGGCGGTGAAAGAAAACATCGTGAAGACACCTGCATTTCTGAGAAATAAGAACAAAAATATTTCGAAGACATGTGAAGTTCGCCAACACGCATTGGGGCAACGCGTTGGACACTTCCTTGCGCTAAAACCCTCTCAGAAATGAGAGGAGGCCTATTGCCAGCTGTGGTACGTATATAGGCTGTAACTTTAACTTTAATGCAGTTTATCAGAAGTCCATTCCTTAACTTATTATTAAGTCTATCCCATTAGTTACTATTGCATAAAAATATCATAAGTTATATATACCTACGACCGCCTTTGTTCGGTGCATCGATATCCATTAACATCCACACCGCGTACAGCAACGCCAACCACCAGAGCGAGGAGTACAGTACACTGATGTATAGAAAAATGGTGACTGCTTCACCGAACAGTACGAGACATATCCATCCAGTGGCAGCGAGGGTCTGCAGTCGACGCGACATTGGGAGGTTCATCGGCGCCCATTCTATTCCAAATGTTTCGGATATTCGACTGAAAAAATAAGAAATTATTTAGAGACCATCCTGAAAACAATAAGGCTATAATCGTCTGCGACAGCATTAACCTGCTATTTTACGCTGGTATTCTGTGATAGCGTGGTCATTCCCCGGTCGAGTCGACCCATTCGTGTTACAACTATACAATTAATATAGCTGCAGCATGGCTCTACCACGTTTTAAAATCATCATGGTCCCTAGAGGTCACAACACATCTGGATTTTGATTGTTAATCAAGAGTAGATGTAGATATCTATGGCCCGTATACCCTTATTCTCTAAGTACAACTCGCAATAACCAAGAAGAAAGCTTTAAAAAAATTACACGTATTAAAACTTTATTTTATGGAGTCGTTTGTGTAACAAAATAAAAATTCTTATCAAATTAAATTCATTCGCAACCGGATATGGATACCGACGTCGCTTAGAACGACAGATCGGTTATTGCGACGAAATGGCTACCAGCCGAGATCCCATATAAACTTTTAGCTTCTATAGTCTGTTCGCTTAGATATGGTCACTGGATATGTTCGCTTGGATATGGGCTTTCGAGAGGACTATCGCTTCCTTTCTAACCTGTGACAAAATATTCTATAATGAAATATAACTACGATTGTTTATATAGCAATTAGTATGGAGCGTTAAGCTGGGCTTTCGGTGTGAAGTTAGTCGAGCGCGGGAGCGCGCGGGCGATACGTTTGCAAGTTCACTTCACATTTCAATGTTTACTCTGTGTGTTTACTTGAGCGAATGAATATTGCGAGTTGAAAATGTATGTTTTAAAAGATTTTTAGTGAAAATGGTGGATAATAGTGTTCTTTGTGATGAATTGAAATGTGTTAAAGTGCTAATCGGCAAGGAAACGGTAAAATCTTTAAACTTTGTTAAGAAAAAAACAGCTCATATCCACGCTGAAACCAATGTCTGATCTGAGTAAAACCCACAAACGGCAATTTAATAGATCTGTCACGAATTGTGAATACAGTATTCGAACAAAAAGCTAATTTGATTAATTTGTTTTCGGATATGTGCAACAATCCGCAGAATTGGGACGCCGATACGATCTTGACCGAGAATTTTGAAAACACATTGCGTTTATTTAATTTCAATTTTTTTCTTTCAATTTTCCACTGGGTATTTGAAAAAACCGACTGCTTGCAATATTTTACAAAAATCACAAGTTGATGTCGGTTATTGCAGTAATAAAATAAAGGAGTTTCAGACATAGTTACGTACTGAATTTCAGTCAGATTTTGATCACATTTATGAAAACACATTGCAAAATAACTCTGCTCTTCGTTTGAAACGCAATGTGCGCTGTGCTCAGATAGAATACAAACGACTTTTTGTTGAAATAATTGATAACATATCTTCAGAAATTAATCGCTGATATTCTGAAAATTTCAAATTAATATCAATTACCAATTGTTCAACAATAAACTATTCGAAAGAGATGGTTCAGATTTTTCTTTAGAGGCATTAGAGTCATTATTTGAAAATTACGCAAACCATTTTGATAAATAAACATTGAAAAACCAAATGATTTCATTGTATTCCTCCCAAAAATTAAAAGACTGCAATGTTTTCGAACTCATTGACTTTATAAACGAAAATAGTCCTAAGAGGCCTTTCCCCAGCTTTTAAAGTTATATTATCTTGTCGTAACCAACATTTTACGCGGACCTAATAAAATCTTTCTTTAAGAAAGAGAGACGATTCGATTTAGAATAAAAATAATTTGTTTTTTTTTTGTTTAATTTTGTACATAGTTTGTATGTACTTTGTTCATGCTTTTTTTTTTGTTCATGTACTGTATTGTATGTAAATAACTTTTTCTTTCGCTCAAGCAAACCCAAACGGCTTTCTTCAAAGCCACCGAAGGTATGCAATTGCTGATATGTCGTATAATCTATCTAGCAGTAGTATGCCTTCTGTGTGCTTTGTTAAACACGTCCTCGAGAGCATTGAATCTGAAACTGAAGAGTGGAGACAGATCAAGATTGGTGTTTTTTTATAAAACTGCTAAAAACAACAAAACCATATCTTGGGCTTGCCCTAGTTTGGAGCCCTAGCTTCGCCACTGGTGTCGCGACGCCTTTACACGTGCCGTATCTATAGTCGGTGTCGCGAAATCAAAGACCGCCGCGTGCAGCGAACACCCGCAGGAGAATTTGACATTCCAAAAAGAAGTGACGTGCCGTAGTAAAAAGTTCTTTGCTATCTAACTTGTGTTTATTATTTAAATTAGTATCTTATTACGATAATTATAAGAATAAAATAGTATTCTATTTTATTCTTTGAATAGAAAAAAATTATTTAACAAACACAGAAAAAAATAATAAAATAAAAGCAAAATTACAAGTTTGCGTCCAGGTGTACCGCCACTATCTTAGTGAACAGACTATACCAGCCTATGCATATTGTTTATGACAAGCATGGTTTATTCAATATTTTTATAACCGACTGCAACTATATTATCATCGTTTTATTCATTTTATTTAGATTAAAACAGACATCATCCCAAAACTTTTGGATCAGTTGTTTAGTATTTTACAAGGATTTTTTGTACACACAAAATGACCTAGCTCGTCCCCTACTGAGATGATATACTCGATGTAGGTCATGTTGCTAGTAATAGCAGTGTGTTCAAGATGGAATTAGGGATAAGCGTGCATATAAGCACCTTTTTTAGATCAATGCCGCCAAGTATATTATTCTACATCTATCTATGTTCCACTCTTTGAGATTGGGACTACCACATGCGTATTCACTTACTAAAGCTTACTTAGATCCCATAATACAGACTTTATACAGGTTGAGCTGTATAATAAGTCATAAACCACTCTTATAAGGGTACAATCTCGTTTCGACACTCTTATACGCTTCCAAAAGAACTGTAAGTTCTATATGGGCTGGTATATTGATGTTATGAACATCAATATACCAGCATGCTTGTGTGCTGCTTGGGAATGACCGCGCACGGCTCTACAGGGACCGGGCCATCATCACAGACAGGACTATTGTTGCGAATAAGCCTGATATTGTGCTGATGGACCGGGCACAGTCAAGGATATTTTTGGTCGACATTACCATTCCGTATGACGAGAACCTACAGATAAGCGGACAAAATATCTAGACCTGGCTCACGAGGTGACCGACATGTGGGGTGGATTGCCGAACGAAATTATGCCTGTAGTCGTCTCTGCAAACGGGTTAATCCCGGTGGGCCTTTCGGGTCATCTGAGGCGACTGGGACTCCATGACCAGGGCTCCAATGCAGAAGGCGGTGCTCCTCGATACCGCCCGTATCGTCAGCTGGTTTCTTTCCTTTCCCATTAACCCTCGGCCGTTTGGACACCCCTGCCGAGAGCTTTCATCTGGTTGGGCTTTTATTTGTTTACGTATTCTTTATGTATTTATTTCACTATATTAATATATTTATATTTATGTATATTTACCATTTCCATTTATATATTTGTGCAGCCCAGCCAGACGAGAAAACTATTTAAATGGTGGACACCATAATAATAATATATTATAAGGTATATTATTTACATTATATGATAAATATTCTTTTAACCAGTTGACAAATTATACTGTATTTGTTACAAATATTTGTACATAGTGCTTATATATCACTATATAAACACTTTATAAACACTATATAAATATGTGTCCGATCGATGTCGAAATGTTCACCATAGATAAGCATAACGTCGATCAAATTGGTAGTTACTAACCAAACAGAAGATAAAGTACCTGCTAGGCACTGATAGCCATTCTATTACCTTAGAACAAACGATAAACGGATAATATAATTCTTTAAGATTCCGCCGTATATTTATTTATTTCACTACAAACTATGATTATAATAATAATTATTAAATTAATATATATTATTAATAATTAATTAATATAATAAATGTAAATAATTTTTTCCTTAAATTAACATACCGTTACTGTTACAGACTACTAAAGTCCAGTGCGTAACATAGGCTTCCCCAATAAATTGCCTCATAGGAAATATACCATAGTTGCCACGCTTGGCAAGCGCGTTGGCACCAGCAGTTTTTAATTTTAATCGTTATTAGGAAAACGCTTTTTTTATATAGAAGAGGGGGCAAACGAGCATGCGGCTCACCTGATGGTAAGTGACTACCGCCGCCCGTGAACAACCGCAACACCAGGGGAATTGTAGATGCGTTGCCGGCCTTTTAGAAAGGTGAACAGAAATAAGAAGTTGTACGAGGGAGAAAACTCCTAGTAAAACGCACAGTCGTGGGCCGCCAAGCATCCAGACGGTGAGGATGGTATAGAGAATTTTGACGCGATTTGCGTTCGTGAAATTTGGCGGCTGGAATTAATCCGAACAATTCCTCAGATCACTCTTCGTGGTAAATTCGATGGAAAATGCAAAGGGATGCAACATTCCTACGCAGTGCCAGTGTATCAAGCCGATCAGAAAGAACTCGGTCGTCGACGATTCGAACAGGTCTGCGTTGGATGCGGTCAAGTGGAAGGAGCTGGTACTGGGCTGCCCCGCCCCAGAGACGAGAACAGTATTCCATGTGAGGCCGAACTTGCGCTTTGTAAAGTTGCAAGCGATGTGCCGGCATGAAATATTATCTCACTCTGCTGAGCATGTCAAGCTTTTTAGAGGCCAATTTAGCCTTCCCTTCCAAGTGACCAATGAAACTGCACACTATTCGATACGTCGACGCCGAGAATTCCGATGCTAGCTGAGGCAGCAAGGGGAGTGCCTTGAAACTGAGGAGACACTACAAAGGGGTTCTTTTTAGCGGTAAACGCGCAAATTTGTGTCTTCTGGGGATTGAACTGGAATAGATTTAGTCGCCCCCAATTCGAGACTTTGTTCAGCAAAGACTCGACTTCAGGCACAAGTTTGTCCCGGTACTCGGCGACATTTTCCCGAGAAATATTGGCACGGCCAGTATATAAGGCATCACCAATGCTGTCGTCTGCATAGCAATGAATG